GCAAAAGTGTCAGAGAAAGTCAAGTTCACTGCAGAGAGAGAGGGGGTCACATAGATGCAGAGAGAGAAGCAGACACTTGTGTTATCAATAACCCCAGAAAGAACAGGGATGCAGTGGTTCTTGGCGCCCGACCTCCCGGGGCTTTAGAGATATACCTGCAGTCTGCTTGTGCTATACCTGGATGTCAGTAGTGCTTCCTGTATCCAAACTGGAAAACTCATGGACATGACAATCAAAATATATCACTTAATCTCCACATCTTCTCTTCAGATAAGGAATTAAGAAAGAATAATCCTGTGAGTCCCTCTGGTAACCAACTCAGGATATATTGAATGGTCAACAGATTTGATTCTTGAGTCAATAAAGAATGAATGAGATCAAGCCATTTAATTAGTTATCCTAATCCTAAAATGAACAGTGTTTATCATGATTCAGGTTGCTGATACAGTGCAAATACATTCAATATGTCCTTACTGCAGCCAAAACTAAATTGACTGGGAAGAAATTGTCAGTGATCATAGGCAAAATGTTTCTTCCTGAATAAAAAGAACAGAGAAAGGGGGAAGACTGTGAACACAGCAAGATCATAATCTTTCACTATCAAATAAATTTTCAAAGCCTCAGCCCTTGCAACTGGGGAGCTCAGAATGAAATTATTTGCATCTTGTTTCTTGCTGGTTCTTTTTTCCTATATCAAGTGGAGGTGCCTGCCCCAGGAGAGAATCCAGCCATTCATCTTGATAGGTTTCAGATCACAAAGGAGTTCTCTGAATTTTTATTTAAAGAAAAGTTTTTGAGAACTAAAAGAGCATTATGCTTCATTCTTTGATTCCCTCCTTACTGATAGAGAAGGAGTTTGATTTCTGCTAGACAGCTGGGTATGGATTACATTTGGATTTCAGTCAGTTAAGCAGTAAAATCCCTTATCTTCCAGACCTAGAGATTTTCCCAACAGAATCTCAAATCTCTGCTTACAAGGCAATGTCTATTTTGTAGTTAATTACTGAACTAGATCTTGCAAAAGTGCTTATCAGGTGTTTTGTGAGTATGTCAAAAAAATGACCTATGTCTCATTAATTCACACTGAACATTTGAAGTAATACCTTAATGTGTTTAAATGGAACGACTATCATTGCGGAAATAATGAGAATATTCTCATTATTGCTTCTAGTCCTTGACTTAATTTCAAATGCTTTAGTTATTTTTAGGGTTTAGAAAATATATTATACAAGGAAAACAATCATTTTAGAAAGTATGGAAAGTAAAAAAAATTTAAGAGAATAAAAAGTCTGTAATTCCACCATTCTTAATTTATCAATGATAATATATGTGCTTGTGTTTTTACTTTAAAAATTGAAATAATAATGAGTAAGAAGTATTCTGATTGTTTATTCAAATTAGTTTTCACATGTTGTATTTTTATTAAAAACACACTCATTAAGAGTCTTTTGAGTATTCCCAAAAGAGAGGGGATATATGTATACCTATGGCTGATTCATGTTGAAGTTTGATAAAAAACAACAGAAGTCTGTAAAGCAATTGTCCTTCAGTAAAAAAATAAATTTAAAAAAAAGGAGTCTTTTGAGTATTCAGTCTCATGTTATTCTTACAGATTTTGAGTAACCTCTAAATGTATGTTGCCCTCTCTCTCTGTCTTATCATCGATCTATCTACTAACTATCTAAAGTCTACCGTCTTAGACCATTAGCTGCTATAATGCAACACCGCAGACTGAGTGGCTTATAAACAGAAATCTGTTTCTCACAGGTCTGGATGCTGGGACCCCGAAGGTCAAGGTGTCTGCAGACTCTGTCTGCTGAGGACCCAATTTCTAGTTCGCAGACAGCTGTCTTTTTGCTGCATGTCCTCACATGGTGGATCGGGTGAGGGATCTCTGTGGGTCTCTTTCCCAGGGGCACTCGCTCCTTTCGTGAGGGCTCCACCCTCATCACGCATTTCCCCTTGTACTCTCCTGCCCCAAGCTTCCCATACACATTCTGCAAGACTAACTCAACTCAGCGATTTTCTCTGTATCTCCCAAAGATTTTCTTTGAATATACAAACTTTCTAAATCCAATTTTTCATTCATTTTGGTTTTCAGGGTGAGTTCTTTTCAGTTTGGGGACTACATGAATTTGTGTGGCTCATGTATTTGGACAAGCACATCCAATTCTACCTCTGTATCAGAAAATACACAAAATGTATACATTCCTTACCTTCTAGACAGAGCTTGAATATGTTTCCTTATCATTAGATTTTGTAGCATGTTTCCATTACATTTCAGCAGGAAATGACAGTATACCTTTAATATAACTTTAATGTGTTAAAAGCGCTTGGGTGGCTTTATATGCCTGAGATGGGCTTCCCAGGTGACTGAGTTAGAGAATCAACCTGCAATCAGGAGATGCAGGAGGCTCAGGTTCAATCCCCGGTGTGGGAAGATCCCCTGCAGGAGGGCATGGCAACCCACTTCAGTATTCTTGCTTGGAAAATTTCATGGACAGAGAAGTCTGGCGGGCTACAGTACATGGGGTCGAAAACAGCTGGACCCGACTGAAGCAACTGATCGTGCATGCGTATATGACTGAGATAGCTTGAAATTAAGCAAACGTGCTAAATCCTATCCTTGTGTTATAGCCTAAAAGACCCCAGTTCTTCTGGGGGGGTATGGTAGAGGTACTTTATTCTTTTTATTTCTTTAAATTTATTTGTTTTATGTGGGGGATAATTGCTTTACAATATCGTGTTGGTTTCTGTCACACATCAACATGAATCAGTCACAGGTACCCAGTCCTCATCATGGGAATTTTCTTTCTCAGTTTCAGGATGCTGCCTTTGCTTGCTGGTCTTGGGATGCAGGTTACATCAACTTTAAAGACAGTGTCCCATGTGGCAGTTGGGCCTTAATCTTCGTGGTGATGACCATTCGAGGCTGGGAAGGACTGGCCTGGGTCATTCTCACTTTTCAGGGCATGCGGCTGGGTGCTTCAGAACAATGACTTCAAAGTTGACTGCATGCCTCCTCCATCCTCTATATCCCTCTGATAGAAAGCGCCAGGAGGGAAGGGCAAATAAACAAACAACCTACTGTTGCCAGATTACGATCTCCTGCTGATGCTACCTATGCACATTAACCTATTTAATCATCAGGGCCCCAAGAGGCGGTGCGACCAAGGACATCCACTTACAATGAACTCCTGGGAGGTTAAGACACTACTCAAGGCTGCTCAAAGGGTCAGTGTTTGTCAATAGACACTACTGAGTCTATGTTTGCTTAACTCCGGAACCCATGAGCTTCAATGACCCCATCCCTCCTCTCCAGGATAACAGTTCCCAACCTCTGCGAGCCTGTCCTGCTCTGGCCAAAGCCTCCTCCAGATGCCCCAGGAGATGGCACATGGGCTTCTTCTCCCCCTGAGTTGTTCATGCCAGCTCTGCTGCTTGGACCGTCCCTTCTTCCTGGGAATGCACATCCTTTAATCACCCTCATCTTTACTTCTATCACCTTCTCTTTCAGTCTTGCCTGGCCCTCTCAGAATAGCTCCACTCCCTCTGTCCCTTCCTTTCTATTTTTTATTCTTTATTTAGGGCACTAATTTTCTGAAAGAGCATGATCAGCCCCAACAGTGACAAAATATAAGGATGGTGTTAATGAGATCACTATTGTATAAAAAATAATTCCTGGGTCAGTTTGATGTATGACTCCCCGTCTAGATGTCCCTGGAGGGCTCTAGACCAGGCTTTGGGGTAGGATGCCTAACAAGAACGTCTTAAGGACAGAGAAATAAAGAAAGGAAGATAAATGAGGCTGTAGACATCATTTCCCCTGTGCACTGTTTGTCAACGCTTCTATTTTTTTTTCTCATCATCTCCCCATCTTCTGTCATCTTCTAGCCATGCTCCTCCTCCCCCTTGGATACTGAAATTGAGAATATTCAAATCCCTTATATAAAACCAGCTAGTGCAGTGGGATCTCCATGTCAGCGGGGTCCAGGAGCAGATACAAGAGGGAGACTGTACCGTCATCTCCCTGCATTCATGAAAAGTGTCCTTCTTTCCTTGGTTATCAATGATTCTGTGCAAGTACTTTGCAAGAAATAATGGTTATATACACTACAGGCACAAATGTAATGGCTTGGTCATATTCCGACAAGACCAGGGTTTAGTCATGTTGGGAAGGGGCACTATCCAGATATCTTGCACAAATGGTCCTTGATGGTCATTTCTCAGGGATTCCCTGATAGCTCAGTTGGTAAAGAATCCACCTGCAATGCAGGAGACCCCAGTTCGATTCCTGATTTGGGAAGACCTGCTGGCTTAGGAAATGGCCACCCACTCCAGTGTTCTTGCCATGAAATCCCATGAACAGAGGAGCCTGGCAGGTGACATCCATGGGGTCACAAAGAGTCAGACATGACTGAGCACACAGCACTTAGGGGAGTATATGCTGACCTGGATGTTCTCTCTAAACCATTCGAAGTGAACTGAGTGATTAAATATAATCAGATGTCTTAGAATATGATGTTAAAAGAAACCTCATCCTATACCTTTTATAAGATCAATTGCTGAATTCTTCAGATTTTGAACTCCTGCCAAATTAACAAATCAGATTCTTTGCAAGCAAAGGTGAGGAGCATTTTTCACTTATGATTTAGGTTGATATTACCAAATGCATGAGCATACAGACACAAAAAGAACTGCAGCACAAGAAATGGGATAATGAGTGCATAAACCCACAGAGGAATCAAGCCTCTAGGTTCACACGTGCCTTTCTGGAGAGGCCTCTACTGAACACGAACGTCCAAAGCATCAAGAAGAACCGTGACCAGTCTGTACCTCCTCTCGGGAGTGAGGGGGAATGATCAAACCTGTAAGTGATTACTCTGCCAGGGAAGTGTCACAAAGCGACTGTCACATGTAGTTGTCCCAGCTCACCATACGTTTATTCTCCCTGGAGAATCAGTGGACATCACGGGACATCTGGGCACACTCAGGGTGGAATGGTTAGCTGCAGCCTGAGGTTGACGTGGAAAAGGTCTCCCAATCACGTCTCTAGGTGAAATCAGTTTGTAAGACCCTTATGAAGAAAACCTCTGAAAAGAATTTTCAGAGTCAGGATTCTATGATTCTGGGAGGAGACTTCACTGAGTAAACATGAAGAACAGGCATAGGAAGAACCTATCTCTAAAGGACTTGGGAGTTTATTACTTGAATTGTGTACTTCCTAGAGAGACCTATGACTTCATTATTTGATTATACTTATACTTTAGGTCAACCAAATTAAATATTTACTTCCACATAAAATTTGTTGAATGAACCGTGTGCTTGGAACTTTATTATTAAAATTGCTATATCACTTTTAAAATTATTTTATTATTATTTCCTTTTTGGATCTTCACCTTTTATTTTGGTATCAGTACAAGAAAAAAATTTTTATTTTCACATACTTTACATTAAATGGAACATTTTAAATGTTCCTATACTTTATAAACCACTTTATAGTGGTTTTGCTATTATTTTCCTACTCATGTTATGATATGATATCAGAAAAGAGTTTTCAACCTGAAGTTAAAATGTCATACGGTTTGATTTTCAAATGTGTACTTTTGAAATGAATGTTTCATTTCATGGAATGTTTCATGAAACGTTAGGGAAAAATAGAACTTCCCTGGTAGCTCAGATGGTAAAGAATCTGCCTTCAATGCAGGAGACCCAGGCTCGATCCCTGAGTCAGAGAAGGGAATGGCAAGTATTCCTGGCAGCCTACAGTCTATGGGATCACAGAGTCAGACATGACTGAATGAGTAACACTAATATTACTTGAATCAATTTCTATATAAATATTCCAACCTATTCCAATACTTTTTCTCTATGTTACATGCAGATCTTAAGCACACAATGCAATGAGGCTTGATCAATGTCTGCAACAATCAAGACAGATGTTTCCATCACCCCGAAAGTTCCCTTCCAACCCCTATCTATTGATCCCCATCCATCTTGGGCAGCCGCTGTTTTGATTTGTGTTATAAGACTTTACCTTTTCTTAAATTTCCACGCAGAATGGACTGAATTTGTGTGTGTGTCTGGTTTCTTCTTGCTTGTGGTTCTTGAGATTCATTCACGCTGTCAGTTCAGTTCAGTCGCTCAGTCGTGTCTGACTCTCTTCAACCCCATGGACTGCAGCACACCAGGTTTCCCTGTCTATCACCAATTCCCAGAGCTTGATCAAACTCATGTCCATTGAGTCGGCGATGTCATCCAACCATCTCATCCTCTGTCATTCCCTTCTCCTCCTGTCTTCAATCTTTCCCAGCATCGGGGTCTTTTCTAGTAAGTCAGTTCATCACATCAGGTGACCAAAGTATTGGAGTTTCAGCTTCAGCTTCAATCTTTGAAATGAATATTCAGCACTGATTTCCTTTAGGATTGACTGATTCATGCTGTGGTTTGTATCAATAATTCATTTTTAAAAATATCAATGAATTTTTAAAATATTTAAATCATTTTTTAAATATCAATGAATACTATTCCATTGTATTAATGTATCCTGGCAATTAAATTAATTTTTCATTTGATGAACAGGTAGATTTTTTCCAGTTTTTGCAACTTATAGGGAAAGTTATTATGAACAAGACTTTTAGGGGGTTATTACTTTTCTCACTGCTAAACAGTTAAGAGTGGGATCACTGGGTCACAAAGTTGGTGTAAGCTTATCAGAAACTCCAAACTGTTTTCCAAAGTAATATTTTATGAGAGTTTCAACAGCTCCAAGGCCACTCGATATCTGATGTTAGACTCTTTGACTTAACTCCTGGAAAGATGTGAAATGCTATTTTATTGCAGATGCAATTTGGGTTTCCCTCAGGACTGATAATGATGAACATTTTTTCATGTGCTTATTGATCTTTCCTGTGTCTTACTTGTGAAGCATCCCTCAAGTCTTTTGCCCATTTTTCCTTGCTTTGTTTTCTTCTTTATACTGAAATATAAGAAGGATTTATAAATTCTGGGTCCAACATGTTTTTCAAATATGCATATTCTATATATTTTCTCCCATCCTGTAGTTTGCTTTATTATTATTATTATTGATCATGACTTTTGCAAAAGAATTTCTAAAAATAACATCCAATGATCAATATTGTTCTTTTGTGCTGAGTGGCCTGAACATTGCTACCTATGCTGAAGATATGCTTTGATGTTTTCTTCTACCAAAACCATAGTTTTAACTTTTACATTTGGGGATTTGATCAGTTTAATTGAATTTTGGTGTGCCATTTGTTATGTGTTTCTGATGAAAAGAATATTTTAACATTAGAAAAATGTCCATTACTACTTCTAATAATACTCTTAATCTTGAATTGTACTTTGTCTCATATTAATATAAAAACATCAGCTTCCTCATTCTTATTTTTGCATGGTATATATTTTTCTCCCCTTTTATGTTCCTTCATCTGTGATTATATTTAAGTGGTTTTTCCTTCAGCATATATTTGCCTCTTGCTTTTTTATCTTGTCTTCCAATCTCCACCTTTTAATTGAAGTGTTTAGTCTATTTTTAAGGTAACAGTTAATATGTTGTTGTTGTTTAGCTACTAAGTCGTTATAGACTCTTTGTGACTGACTCTTTATGAATTGCATCATACCAGGCTTCCCTGTCCTTTATGGAGTTTGCCCAAACTTATGTCCATTGAATCAGTTATGTCATCCAACCATCTCATCCTCTGTCACCCTCTTCTCCTGCCCCCAGTCTTTCGCAGCATCAGGATCTTTTTTAATGAGTCAACCCTTGAATCAGGTGGACAGAGTGTTGGAATTTCAGCTTCACGATCAGTCCTTCCAACGAATATTCAGGGTTGATTTCTTTTACAATTGACTGGCTTGATCTGTTTGCAGTCCAGGAGACTCTCGACTCTTCTCCAACACCACAATTTGAAAGCCTCAGTTCTTCAGAACCCAGCCTTCTTCATGGTCTTTATACCTTCTTTACACCATGACTACTGGAAAAACCATAGCTTTGACTAGATGGACCTTTGCTGGCAAAGTGATGTCTCTGCCTATTAATACACTGTCTATGTTTGTCATAAATTTTCTTCCAAGCAGCAAGTGTCTTCTAATTTCATAGCTGCAGTCACCATCTACAGTGATTTTGGAGTTCAAGAAAATAAAGTCTCTCACTGTTTCCATTGTTTCCCCATCTATTTGCCTTGAAGTGATGGGACTAGATAACATGATCTTAGTTTTTTGAACGTTGAGTTTTAAGCCAGCTCTTTCACTCTCTTCTTTCACCCTCATCAAGAATCTCTTTAGTTCTACCACCTCGTAATCTATTTTCTTTTTATCTCACCAGGCTTTGATTCCTGTGTTCTTCTCTTCCAGCCTTCTTTGGCTGTTAGAATTAATCATTTGCCATAGAAATTCTCATTCAATACATCTATTGGCTTTTTGGTTATACCTTGTAATTTTTTAAGTGGCTATTCTAAGAATCAAACTATGCATTTTTTATTTATCACTGTCTTTTTAAACCTAATAGTATTACTTCACATACAATTTAAAACCTTGCAAAGTACAATTTAACCTATCCGCCTGTATTTTGCTACGGTCATAGTTTAATTTACCCACCTATTTTTTTATTATTCTGATACATTTTATAAAGTATGTGCTATGAACTCCACATTTTAATATAATCCCTTATGCTTTAAATATTAATATTCTTTAAGATAAATTAAGATCTCCATTTCCATCTAATGGCATTTTTCTCCAGCTTGAAAATCTTCCTTTATTATTATTTACAGTGCAGTTCTGCTGGAATTTAATTTTTTCCAATTTTATCTACCTTAAAAGTATTTTGAATTTGTGTTTTGCTTTATATAAAATTTTCAGTTTGTGTGTGCGTATGTGCATATAGTTAGAGGTGTTCATTATTTTTTGCAGAAGGTTGTTCTAATATAGACTTTCTTCCTTTGCATAAATCAGGAATTCCAGACCATTACTTTTAAATACAACTCAAAATAGTGTCAAAGAACCTTTACCATTTCTCAAATTTGTGTACAGTGTATACTAAGCACATAGCAAAAGCAGATTTAAATATAATTTTAAGGTTAAAGCACACTTAAAATTCATTAAATAGATCCAATTATAATTACAACAATTTCTTAAAAGGTTGTTGTAATTACCCCTTGCACTAAAATTGATATCTAGGTAATGACAATTCTTGTCAATAATGATACTGGTTTAAATTATTCTTCCCCAAAATTACAGAATTTTAAAAGGAATCCTTGGGTCGATTGGAAAGGCTGCCAACAGAGAAAATCCAATTCATAAATACAAACTATTATTAAGCATCTCATAATATCATTGATTTTGTTATAACTGAATCAAATGATTTATCCTGATTCTTTTTGTGTGAAAGAGAAAATTTTAAATTATCATAATATAAAATATATGTGATCACTATTATTTATGCATTTTTGTTTAGCACCATTTGTGTCTTGATTCTAAAAACTCTGAGGTTGAAAGAGATGCTTCAAACTCCCTAAAAGAAAAAGTTTAGAAAATACTTTTTAAATAGTTTAAAATACTTTAAAAATAATGTTATATATATTATATCTGTATAATGGAACAATCCCATGAAAATATGTCAGGTTTTGCTGGTAGGTTAAAATGTACAGTAAGGTTTAAATTTTTACCATTTTCTAAATATAAATTGTAATAAAATTAAAGCTGTTGCCAGTTGACTGTTGTAGATTCTAAAGAATGCATTAAATGTCATACTATTAGAATCATAATTTTAACACAAAAGCACTTAGCATGAATGCTAATTATTTTTTGCTCATTTGTGGTATTCTTGTTTATTAGGGTTTGGTCCAAGTTTATTGATACACTGGAATCAGAGAATCAGAAGTCATCTTTCATAACAACCCATCACAGATCTTGTGCTTCCCAATCACCAATTCTCTAGACAAACTGTTATAGTTTAATTAATTTCCATACAAGAAAAGTTCTGCTTGATACTGAGCCAAAATATATCTTACATTAATTTCAATTTATTTTTAAAAATTGTATCCCATCACAGATTATCAAATAAATTGCTTTCATATCTTAGCCCAGAGCTCAGAGGCAGTTCCTAATGTATACCCATTATATGAATAAATCATATAACCACAAGCCTGAAAATATTTCAGAACAGCTCTTTAATTTTGCAAATAAGAAACCCAGAGGTTTTATTTTCCCCTGTGCTATTGTACATGCTATTGTAACCCCAGAAGAATGAGGAAAGATACCACCAAGAACAAGAGCATTGATTGGTTTCTTTTACTGTTAAAACCCTTGGCTTTTTAGCAAGGCTGTAACTGCAAAAAGAGACTGTCATGAGAGAAAAGAATACTGTGAATTTCCCACACCCCTGCATGGACACTGTAGCTCGTGAGCTCCACCACTACTTTCGTGGTCTTCCTTAGCAACCCACATTGATTTTGTTCCGGGAGTACCTACTCTGGGAAGGTAGGTTCCAGGGGTGTCACTGCGTTCTCACCTCCCTTCCTGGGATTTATTTGAAGATGAGCATATGGCCTTGTTCTGGCAGATGGATGTCAGGACAACTCTGATCTGTAAGCAGGGGTCAGATTTCTCAACTGGGTGGAAGAGAAGACATTCCAGGAGAAAATCCACTTATGCCCGTTCCCTTCCTACTCAGCACTGTGCCCTGTGAGGGTATAACACCTCTAGCTGCAGTGGCTAACTTGTACCCAGAAGGTGACAAGCTGAGCAGAAATAGGATGCCCAGGAGGGCACACAAGGAGACAGGTGGCTCTGACGACCTCGAGGAGCCACTCCCTGCCTCCAGACTTCTCAGTGGGTGAGGTACAGTCCCAGGTCTCCCGCATTGCAGGCGGATTCTTTACCATCTGAGCCACCGGGGAAAGAGTTAATCTACTACACCCCAATACAAAATAAAACTTTAAATTTTTTTTTTTAAAGAATCAGTATGGCATGGGTCTGTGCATGCTAAGTTACTTCAGTCATGCCCAACTCTTTGCAACTCTGTGGACCGTATAGCCCGCCGGGCTCCTCTGTCCATGGGATTCTCCAGGCAAGAATACTGGAGCGGGTTGCCATGCCCTCCTCCAGGGGATCTTTCCCACCCAGGGCTCGAACCCGTGTCTCTTCTGTCTCCTGCATTGGGAGGGGGGTTCTTTACCACTTAGTCCTGCATGAGTATCACCCCTCAAAGTGTGTGCTCACTGCCCTGTGCTCACCTAGGGATGACTACATCGGAGTAACGGCAACAGTGACACGTAAAGAGACAAAAGGAGAATAGATTCAGATTGTAAACACCACCCCACCCCACTCCAGTATTCTTGCCTGGAGAATCCTATGGACAAAGGAGCCTGGTAGGCTACAGTCATGGGTTTGCAAGAGTCGGGCATGACTTAGCAACTAAACCACCACCCCATCCCACATGAGGATGTCTCTGAACTTCAAGGTGCCCAGAGGCAGCTAAAGTGAGAGCTGGCCATTGTCTGTGGCTCTAACAAGGTCCCAGGGGTGGTCACCTAGCCAGAGGACATGGCCAGGACTCGGTGAGAGATGATGAAAGTTCTGCTCAGCCTGGAGTACCACAGGATCCTGACCAGGCTGACCACAAGTCACACCCTCCAGCAGCAAATACCAGTGGAGTGCCCAGGGCTAGCGGAGTGCCCAGAGCTGGCACAGGGATCGGAGTAACAGAAGCCTTTACGTGGATCCACCAGCTCAGAGCTCGGGTTACCTAAAGGGGCCTTTCAGTTAAAAAGCCAGACAGAGACTGCACTGCACTCAAATGACTTTCTCTGCTCTCTGCCCAGCAGGGATGGAACAAGTGGAAGAGCTCAGAGGAAAGCTAACAGGGAAATGAAACGAGATTCTCTGCACACCTGAGTGTCAGGGGAGCAGCTGTTGGTGATCCTCTGCCCCACTGAAGCACCTCTTCTCCAGGTTAAATCCTCTCTGGAAGGCTCCACAGGAAACAGAGCAGTGGGGTTCTGACCCCCAGGCTCTGCACTAGGTACCAGCTTTGATAGAATCTTAGTTTCTCTACATTATTTTCTAAAATTTAGTTTCAAAAACTAAGTGAATACTTTCCATCATTAAGTCTAGATTTCTTGTATGCTCATCAATAAATTAAAATTAGCTACATTATCTCTAGTTTCTGTGTCCCACTATTATTTAACTGAAATCTATATCCCACCTATTTCCAAAATAGTTGGAATTAACTTTTAAATGAAGCCTTACTTTAAAAAAAAAGGGGGGGAGGGGGCTTCCCTGATAGTTCAGCTGGTAAAGAATCAGATTGCAATGTGGGAGACCCTGAATCGATTTCTGGGTTGGGAAGATCCCCCGGAGAAGGGAACAGCTACCCATTCCAGTATTATGACCTGGAGAATTTTATGGAGTGAATAGTCCATGGGGTCACAAAGAGTCAGACATGACTGAGCAACTTTCACTTCGTTTGGTTCAGTTGCTCAGTCATGTCCAACTGTCTGCGTCCCCGTGGACTGCTGCACACCAGGCTTCCCTGTCCATCACCAAATCCCGGAGCTTGTTCAGACTCATGTCCATCAAGTCGGTGATGCCATCCAACCATCCCATTCTCTGTCCTCCCCTCACTTTACTTAAAATAGAACAATCAGGGGACTGCAACTAATCCGATAATCCATCTTGGGGAGGTGGGGCAGGGTTCAATTAATTATCAGTCAATTAAGAAATAGAAAAGCTCCCAGCTGGTTAAGACAAACAGGGCAACTCAAGGGATTACAGGATTACACATGTATTAAGGTAAAAATAAAAATAATAAATAAAACAAGATTATGACTGTGGATCATCCAGCTGTCTGAACAGCTTAAGCAGATGTGGTCCTGTCCCTGAAAGTCTTATAAAGTGTGATTGTGCGAGACTTTATCTATGACTCCTGAGCCAATGATCAAAAAGAAGATAAACGAGCAAAAATAATCATGTTTTCAATGCTTAAAAATCATTAAACATTCCTACAGTTTATTCTCCCAACAATCAGTAGGTTAACAGTTTGAGAGGAGCCAGTTGCTGTTGAGTTGCTCAACTCTTTGTGACAGTGAAGCCGATACTCACCCCTATTTTTGAATGTATCTATGTTGGATAATACACCCACCCAAAGGTTCAGCCTTTCTTCATGCAATTCATGCATATGTTTATTTTCTCTTTAGTACCCAGAGCCCATTCTTAAACCCAGGGCTCTGAAAGGAGTCTGTATACCAGCCTAAGTGCAAAACTCATCATGGGAAGTCCATCCTGTGTTTTTGTTTATAGGTGATTTGCTGAAACACTAAATGGACTGAAAAGAAGAAGAAAGCTGAATGTTAGTTGGGTCAAGAATACTTTACTCACAGGAAGGAAAAACATTCTGGGAGAACCCAAGTCAGAGAAGACATCCAACTGGCAATGTGGGAATCGGAGTAATCTGATTTTGTTCCATGTTCACATTTGTGATTCCTATTACCGTGCTTCACGACTCTTTTAGCTCTTAAGTTTTCCTACAGTGTTCCATTGCTGTTGTTTAGTTGCTAAGTCATGTCCTGCTCTTTTGTGACTCCACGGACTGTGGCCCTCTACAGTCCTCTGCCATGGGACTTTCCAAGCAGGAATAATGCCTGGTTGCCATTTCCTCCTCCAGGGGATCTTCCTGACCCAGGGATCAAACCCATGTCTCCTGCATTGGCAGGCAGATTTTTTGCCCTGAGCCACCAGGGAAGCCTGTAACATACTTTTAAAAGAGGGTAAAAAAGGCTGTTGGATATTCTTCTATGCCATTAACGTGGGCTTAGCAAAAGGGACTTGTAACTTAGATTTGTAAAATTCTTTCCTGAACAGACATTACATTCATGTTTGCAAATTTAAAAAGACTAAATATAAGTATGTATTGTTGTCTTGCAAACGTATCACTGTGACTGGATGTGTGTGTGTGTGTTCAGTCACTCGGTCGTGTCCAACTCTTTCTGACCCCATGGACTGCAGCCTGTCAAACTCTTCTATCCATAGATTTCTCCAGGCAAGAATCATAGAGTGGGTTGCCATTTCGTTCTCCAGGGGATCTTCCCAACCCAGAGATTGAACCTATGTCTCTTGAGTCTCCTGCATTGCCAGGAGGATTCTTTACCACTGAACTGCCTGGGAGCCCATCACTGTGGATACCTAACTGCAAACTATATGTCTTAAGAGAAAATATACAGTGTGTGCTCTCATTAGAGCACAAGTAAAGTGTGCATAAATTTGAATCAACATTGAGCTAATTTCAAGCATGATATTTATTCTCTATATTTTAGTCCAGGTATTTTACTAGTAATTAAAATCTTTAAAATTTTCTAAGTGCTTTTTAAGAGAAGCCCTCCACTTGTTGATTTCCTTTAATATTCATTTGAAGGACTGAGGCTGCAATACTTTGACCACCTCATGTGAAGAGTTGACTCATTGAAAAAGACCCTGATGCTGGGAAAGACTGAAGGCAGGAGGAGAAGGGGACGACATAGGATGAGATGGTTGGGTGGCATCACTGACTCAATGGACATGAGTTTGAGCAAACTCTGGGAAATAGCAAAGGGCAAGGAAGCCTGGTATGCTATAGTCCATGGGGTTGCAAAGAGTTGGGCACGACTTAGCAACTGAACAAAAACTCCACTAGTTTGCTCTTGGGAAAAATATGTTTATAAGTAAAGAGCAGGTCTACCGCAGTAGGGAAGATAGATGTGTGTGTGTGTGTGTGTGTGTGTGTGTGTGTGTGTGTTATTAGATCTGTAATGCAATAATGAGTGTCTAGGTTTAAGATTGTTTTTTTTATTCTCTGGCTTGCTGAGCTGGAAAAAGTCTTCAGCAGTTCCCAGGAGCAATGTAAATGTGGCCTGTCTAGATAGAGTTGGCACTTAACCACATCAGGCCATTTGGAGGTTATTTAATCTAGGGCAACTGGCCCCACGAACCCAGCCGCCCTCCCACACCACTGCTCCAGGAGCCACCTGGTACTGAAGGGGGAGCTGAGAAAGTTGCATCTTAGGTGCTCATGGGAGAGAAAGCAGATTCTGTCCACAAGGTCAATTGAGTCTCCTTTTGAACTATCATATATCACTCTGACAGTATTTAACTCGTTTTGTTTTAAAATGTGTTTGTATATTTAGCATTCTAATTTTTTTTTAGAAAAAGCCCAGTGTTTAGGATGCTTTTATAATAATGAACTACAAAATAAGCCTGAATGCTAGTCATTCATCACAATGGACTACTGAAACAATAAAAAAGATCATTTCAGAAATTCTTTTACTTAACCTTCTAATACCAGAAATATTGTTTGATTAGAGTGCCTTTCTGTCTTGGGAAAGTAATCAGGGTTGATGTGGCCTTACAGCCAACCCATGAAGAGTGGCTGGCACAGGCATATGGAGCAGATTCCCAAGTGAGAAGATGAGCGTCCGTTTTCCAGGTGAGGGAAGTGGAGGGTGGGTGGATGGATGTGTTGTAAAAAGTAAACGGAGGCACATTAAAACATTTTAAGTGATTTTTTTTTGAGCAGACAGGGGTTCTAATCAGACAGTGACAAACCCAAAGTGGATGGGAGTTTTCACCAACAGGGGAGTTGAGGTTCTACTGACCTAGGGTGGGATTTTCACAGAGGACACAGAAGCGAAGCAAAGCAATCATTTGACTGGCTAGAGCTTCAAGGGTTATCTTATTTGAGAAAGCTTGATTGGCTGTGAGTGACTGGTAGCGAGTGGTAGTTCATGGAGTTATGAAATGCTGGGCTGGATGAAGCACAAGCTGGAATCAAGATTGCTAGGAGAAACATCAATAACCTCGGAT